GCTTCAGTGGCGGCCCAACGCCGCCATGGACCGCGGCTGCACCAGAGACAAGCAGCGTCAGATCAACGCCGAGTTTTGCCTCCAACTTCGCGGACGCCCTCGCAGCAGCGCAGTGGCATTGGCCATCGCTGGGGCCCGCGGCTCCTGCAGCCCTCTCAGGAGGGCCTCAATGTAGCTTGCTGGAACGCCCAAGCCCTCCTCGGACAATCAGACCAACGCCGCGAAGACAAACGTCGTACGCTTTTACTTGTATTTCGCCAACGCACACTTCTCACTGTTCAAGGAACGCATGGATCCCTAGACGACCTCGCTCTCCTGGCCAATTCGACCCAGCGCCCGTGCAAACCGTTCCACTCGCCCGTGATGGTCGACGATGTGCCCGTCACCAACGCTGGCGGCATCGGCTTCCTCGCCCCGTGCGACAAGAGAGAACGCCAGCTACCTCCTGAACAACGGCCTCAAATCAGGTTCGAGGTCGTCATCCATGGCCGCGCCGCTTGGCTGCGCGTCACGGATGCCAGCCTCCAGTACGAAGTCGCCATCCTCAACGTCCACGACGACGGCCTCGCGCCAGCCGACCGTCTGCACATTCGCGATCAATCGCAAGCACTTTGACAGCGTGCTGACGAACATCCTCAGCATCGCCTCTTCATGGTCGTGGGTGACTTCAATGTACCCGAGTTCCCCGCAAAGTCCTTCAATGCCCCCGTCGACTCCGACACCGCCGCTGCGCAGAGATACCAGTGCCAGCCTGTCTTCTGGCGCTCGCTGTTTCGTGACAGGATCGAGATCATCTCCGCGTCTACGACGCGCCGAGCCGTGGGCAACATGTGTGAATCAACGATCGACCGCTGCTTCATCAACCTCCCGAGCCACCTAGCGCCCCTCATGGTGACCATTTACGTCGCCGACGACGCCCCCCTCGAGAACGCCGGGGGGCCGATTAGCGACCGCAAGATCATGCACCTTCGCTTCCAGAGAGATCCTCGCCACTATCGACGTCGCGCCGCTCGCTCCGATTGCTAGATGGTGCGCTCTCAAGGCCGCGATGCAAGTCGCTGCCGCCCGCGCGCGTGACGCGCTCGCCAAGATTCCCGCTGCCGAGCTGAAGTCCCAGACTGCGAGCGCATCCAAGGAGACCCGCGCCATGATGCTGCGCAGCGTCGCCCGCGCAGTCTGGTACCGGAACGCCCCTCTCGCGATGACGCTGATCGAGAACGCCGAGATCGGGCACTATCGCTTGGAGATCGACGGCAGCACGGCCAGCATCAACGACATGACTTCGTTCGCCTCGGCCGCGGACGCAACTCGCGCCTGCCTCGGCGACGAGCGCAAAGCACTCTCAGCAGCTCGCTCGCGCGCCGCCTTTGCCGCCAACAACGTTCCCCATCGTCCAGAAGTGGCGCCGGCGCGCCCGGCGCGAGGGTTGCCGCTGCGAGCTCTGGAAACCGTTTGCCAAGCGCCTCGTGCTGACTGGCATCAGGATCATCGCCGGCAACTCGCCCAACGCGGTGACAGACCCTGCCGCCGCGCACCGGGCCATCATGCGTCGCTGGCCCCCCGTGTTCGTCGAGAAGCACGTGGGCGAGAAGCGTCTCGCCGACTACCTCGACTCTGTCTCCCCCCGGCGCCAGCGAGAAGGCCCATCGCTCCCCGACGCGCGCGCGCTTGAGAAGGCAGCGCGCCTTGCTGGGGATTCAGCCCCTGGCCCCGATAGTCTTCCACGCCGAGCGTGGCTCCGCGCGCCCGACAGCTTCGACGCCCTCGCCGACGCCTGCTACGACATCGCCGCCAATCGCAACCTCCCGCACGACCTGAACTTCTCTCTCATGGCCACGTTGCCGAAAGGCGACGAGCCATCGGGCAATGCAGAGTGCACGCGCTCCCCTGATTGCCTTCGCCCGCTTTCAATGAAGAGCTCGGGCGTGAAGCTGCTGGCGTCCGCCGCCGACCGCCACCTCTACGCCCTTGCAGCCCGGGCGCCCCCCGAGCAGCAGAGCTTCGTCAACGGCCGCCAGTTTTTGAACGACGTCGTCGTCGTGGACGCCGCCGCGCGTCGACACCGCCTTTCCCCTTCAGCCTTCTCAGACATGCCCGTCTTCGTCAGAATGGGCATCGCAGCCGCGTTCCCCAGCCTCGGCCACCAGTGGATGTGGAACGTTCTCGAGCGCTGTGGCATCCGCGGCCGCGTGCTGCGATTGACCAAGCCTGCTACTTCTTGCCCGTCTCGTTCCTCGAAACGGGAGGAGAGCGTCGCCCACTCCTGATCGCTGCATCAGGCGTTGCTCAGGGGTGCCCCTTGAGCGGCGCGATCAGGGCGCTCGACCCCGTCATCGTCGCCATCAGCCGCGAGCTCAGTGCCACCCACCGCAGGCTCATCAGCGCCTGCGCAGACGACCTCGGCATCATCCTCGCCAGGCTGGCCAACATCAGCGCACTCGCCCCCCACGTGATCGCGGCCGAGGCCCTAGCATGCCTCCAGCTCCAGGCCAAGAAGTGCATCGTCGCCCCGACCTGGGCCCTCCCGTCGCAAGACCTCGTGGCCGAGATGCGACGCGTCCCGGTGGCTGCTCGCGCCCCATGGTTCAACTTCAAGATCGAGTCCAATGCCCGCTACCATGGCTTCTACGTGGGCCCGGGCTCCATGTTAGCTGACCGATGGCGTGGCCCCGCAGTGAGTGGGGCCGCGCGGAGAAGCTCGCCGCCTCGCACGCCCCCATCCAGCAAAGCATCGAGCTGTACAACGTCGCCGCCGTCACGCGCCTGGGCTACGTCGGCCAGCTCTTCGAGCCGCCCGAGGGCATCCTGCAGAAGGAGCTGCAGGCCATCAATAAGCTGCTGCGCGTCGCCCCCTCCAGCTTCGCCAAGTCCGACGTCCTCGCGACGACGCTCTGGACGAACGCGGAGGCCCCCATCGGCATCGAGAACTACCTGGCCGCCACCCTCTGGAGAACGGCGTCTACCAGTGTGACAGAGTGGAGACGCGCACGTCGCGAACTTTGCGACACCGCCTACGACCAGCTTCCCGTCACCACTGCACTGCAAGGCGCGTGGTGCAACGACTGTTGGTAGATCAAGACCGCCATCGTCCAGCGCCTCGAGGGTGTCACCAACTCCACCTTCTCCGCCGGCTGCAAAGGATCACATCTCAAACGCCTGACACGCGCTGCTGGGCCCCGACCCCGCGCACGGGCCGCCATGATCGCCAGCCGCAAGCGCGCCGCCAGAGCAGGACAACAAGCCATCCTTCAACGCCGCGCCCCCCGCCTATCTCAACAACCTGACCGCCGTCAGCGTGGCAAGCCTGCCAGGATCACGCCTCGGAAAGCCTCCATGAAGTCGCTGGGCGAGCAGCTCTACGTCGACACCGCGCTTGGCACCATCAAGCGCCGCCTGATCGCGTGGTACCCTATACTGGACCCCGCTCGCCAGCTTACGCGCGAACCGCCGCGGACCGCGACGTGAAGCTGAACGAGCCGAAGCGCGTCCTCTGATCAGGGCGCGCTCATGGGCCGCGCACTGGCTGCCTGGCCTCCTGATGAACGACCGACGCATCAGCCGCCAAGAGGACTGGATGCAGTGGTGCGTCACCTACCTGCGCGAGCTGCTCGGCACCGACCTGTTCCAGCCGTTGCGCACCGCCGACATCCAGCGACGCCGCGTCGCCGTCGACATGTGCACTCAGGCGTGGGACACCAGCGGCCTTGGACGTATTCTCCTGGAGCATGGGATGACCCGCCCAGAAGCGCTGAGCGAGTCGCCACGCAGCCGATCGCCACGCAGTCGTACTTCGGCGTTCAGCTACGAGGCCGCCCAACACCGTGCCCGACGCCGCTGGATCGCCCACGCCCTGCCCTCTCTGGAGCCCGACGCCGACCCTGACGACATTCAACGCGACGACGACGACATGGGCGCCGAAGACCCACCTGCTGACGCCGGCGCACAACGTGATCTCCTTCAAGTCCAGCAAATTCCTGATGACCCCCCCGCACGGTGGACGCGCCTCCGCACCCACCTCGCGACCCTGCCGCCCGCCAGGCTGTGGAGCGCCCTGAAGGTCCTCGCGGGCGCGTGGGCGACCTCGCACAGGATGCGCGTGATCCCGACCAAGCGCCCATGCCACTTCGGATGCCCGCACGCCGACGACAGCATCCAGCGCTACCTCATATGCGAGCGGATGTGGCACCAGCTGAGCGTACCGCGCGGCAAGTTGAGCACCAATATCATGACGAGGCTCGGCCTTCCTGAGCTGACCGAGCCGTTCCATGGCGAGAACGGCATCCCCAACAGCATTGCCAGGCTCTCCGTGGCCAAAAGGACGTACCACCTGGCGAAGGACTACGACCTCCCGATGTCATGCAACGAGCAGGCGACAGCCGTTGCCGCCGCTCGCCCGGCCCTGTAGCTGCCCGCAAATCTGTCGGGCGGGGCCGGCGCGCCGTAGCGCGGCTCGCAGACGGACGCGCCCTCTCAGGCGACGTTCGCTCCTCCTCCTCCCCCTCCTCCTCCTCCTCCTCCTCCTCCTCCTCCTCACTCGTACCCCTCCTCCTCCTCCCCCTCCTCCTCCTCGTCCTCGTCCTTCTCCTCCTCCTCCTCCTCCTCCTCCTCCTCCTCCTCCTCCTCCTACCCCTCATGATCCTCCCTCCTCCTCCCTCCCTCCTCCTCCTCCTCCTCCTCCTCCTCCTCCTCCGCCCTCCTCCTCCTCCTCCTCCTCCCTCCTCCTCCTCCTCCTCCTCCTCCTCCTCCTCCTCCTCCTCCCTCCTCCCCCTCCTTCCCCCTCCTCCTCCTCCTCCTCCTCCTCCTCCTCCTCCTCCTCCTCCTCCTCCTCCTCCTCCTCCTCCTCCTCCTCCTCCTCCTCCTCCTCCTCCTCCTCCTCCTCCTCCTCCTCCTCCTCCTCCTCTCTCTCGGCCTGCGGGCTCGTGAGACGCGGCCATCCCTCCTCCTGCCCCAGCTCGCGCGCGCGTGGGCGGCGGCGCCGGCGCCAGCCCTCCCCCGCGCAGGCTTTGGCCGCGCTCCCGGAGGGTGCCCGCGCCGCCAAGGTCGCCAAGGCCTCCGCCACCAGCTGCCTCGGGGGCCCCGGGGGGGCCTCGGGCCGCCGCCGCCGCGAGACATGTCGGGGCCGCGGGCGTTTTCTGCGCTGTTCGCTTCGCCGCTCTCCTCCTCCTCCTCCTTCTCTCTGTCCTCCGTCTGGTCATGATTATTATTATTATTCCTCCTTTTCTTTTTCTCCCTCTCCTTTTTCTTTTTCTGCTTCTTATCCTCCTCTTTCTTCTCTTCTCCGCTCTCCTTGAAGCTCCGAGCTGGCGGCCTTTGTCCACCGTGAGGCGCAGCCGGTGCCCCCCGCCCCCGCGCGCACCATCGACGAGGGCCGGGGGCGAGGGGGGGGGGCCTGAGGGAAAGCTCGGTGGATTGACCTCCTACCCTGACGCGTCGATTCAGGAATTGGCCGTTTTCGGTTCGCGAGAGGGCGTCGCGGCCGTGTCCAGGTCCGTCGGTTTCGGCCCCAGGCCGCTTTTTCACTGAGGGGAGGCTTGCTAAAGGGAGGTTTGTCCGCCGCCGACAAGCGGCTCGGTCCGGCCGGCGAGGAGGCGGGCGAGCGGGAGGACGAGGGGAGGGAGGCGACAGGAAGGGGGGGCCGAAGCGGAGGCGAGCCGATGGGCCGATCGATCGGGGGATGGGGGGGAGAGAGGCGCGCAGCTGGCGGCCGCAGGCGCGCCGAACCCTTTGGGTCGGACCACCAGGGGGCGGGGGGGGGGGAGGGGCGGGGGCGGGCAGGCCGAGGGGCAAACGATGGGGGTGCCAGCAGGTGTTCCGCCGATGCGGGGGGGCCGGGCAGCGGGCAGAGGAACCCCATGGATCTCTCAAGGATTCTGATTGATTTTCTTAAGCTCCATGTAGAAATCTTTCAAATTGCCGGAGGATCCCAATGGATTTCCGAAAGAATCCGATGTATGTCCTATGGCATACTATGGATGTCCCAAGGCATCTTATTGACTTCCTAAAGAAGGCCGAGGGCTTCCTCAGGGGACTCATGGATTTCCATAGGAATGCCCAATGATTTCCCAAAGGGTTCCTATTGATGCCCGAAAGAACCCGATAGATTTCCGCAGAAATCCCGTGGATTTCCCGAGGGGTCCTGCGGATCCTTTTCGGGGTCTCATGCGTAACCTGGGGGGCCCGATGGATTTCCGATGGGGCCCCATGGATTTCCAAAGAAGTCTTGCGGATTTCCACTGGAGTCCCATGGATTTTCGGAGGAATCGTATGAGCTGCGTGAGAGATTACATGGAACTGCTTAGGAAACGGACGCATGCCATAAAAGGGCTCCCATGTATTCCCGAAGGAATCCTTTGGATTCCCAGAGCAATCCCATGGATCTCCCATGGAATCTGCTTGATTTCCCGAAGATTAATGTAGAATTCTAAAGGAGTATTAAATTGCCGTTCGAACCCGATGGATTCCCGAAAGAATCCGACGGATGCCCGAAGGAATCCTATGGATGTCCCAAGGCATCCTATTGACTCCCTAAGGCATCCCATGGACTTTCTACGGATTCCTATATTTCCTTTAAGGAATCCGATGGATGTCTCAAGGCATCCTATGGATGTCATAAGGGATTGTATAGTTTCCCAAAGGATCCCGATCGATGTCCGAAGGAATCCGAGGGATTTCGTTAGGAATCATACATATTGCCTTGAGAACCCCATGCGTTCCCACGGAACCCGATGGATTTCCGAAGGAGTCTTCTGGATGGCCGAAGGAATGCGAAGGATTGCTTAAGGATCTTTTGCGCATCTTGCAAAAACCCAGTGGATTTTCCCAATGGATTCCCCAGAGGACCCGGCGGATGTCCTAAGGATTCCGGTGGATGTCTTAAGACACGTCATGGATGTCCGAAGGGTTTTTTAGATAACAAGTGTGTCTATATATGTATGTATGCGAATAAATACGTAACAATATTAATACACAAACCCAATGGACTTCCAAGGCATCCTATGGGTTTTCATCCGATCCTCATGAAAGTCCGAAGGAACTCGTATGGATTTCGTAAAGCATCATATGGGTGTCCTAAGGAAGTCTATGGATGTCCTAAAGCATCCCGCGGGTGTCCGAAGGGATCCGGTGGACTTCCTCTGAGACCGATGCATTTCCCAAGGACACCCATGAATGTCCGAAGGATTTTCATGGATTCTCGAAGTGTCCTTAGGATGTCCGAAGGATTTCCAGGGCTGTTCTCCAGAATCTTGAGTATTTCGTGAGGAATCTTGGGACTTTCTGAGGCGACCTATGGATGCCCTAAGGAATCCGATGGATGTCCTAAGGAACCCAATGGATGTCCGAAGGATTATGATGGATTTCCGAAGGATTCCTATGGAGCGTCCAGGATCATCATCATTATTATCATCATCATCATCATCATCATCATCATCATCATCGTCATCATCATCACCATCATCGTCATCATCATCATCATCATCATCATCATCATCATCATCATCATCATCAACAACATCATCATCATCATCATCATCGCGCGTCATCTCCATCATTGTGCTGCGATCTCTGGGCAAACGTTTATCATCCCCCCCGAGCCCCGAACTTTCTTATCACATGAGGATTAATGTCAGGGGATCAGGGCTACGTACATCGAAGGACCCGGTCTCGGGGGGCCCGGGCCAGAACCTCGACCACATTTGGGAAGACTGGGGCGCCCTGCCAAATCGACGCTGAGGGTGATCAGACAACCGTCAAGACGATCCACGGCTGCCTCGAGTCGTGCCAAGACGACGACCTCCAGATGTTTCAGAAAGCTCACTCGGCGCCTCCGGCGGCCCAACTTGCTTCCAAGACGCTCCGAGAGTGCCCCAGGAGACCGTCCAATACAGCTCCAGGAGGCCAAGCTCATTATTTCTGTTAGAGGTTTGAAGGTTTCTAGGGTTTTCGCCTTTTCGGGTCTCCGACGGCCCAAGACGGTTCAAGAGGCTCCACAAGTCGTCCAAGGACGATGGAAGAGGCTTCCAAGAAAGCCTCACGAAGGCCCAGGAGAGTTCCAAGATAGCCAAGGAGGGCCCCAATACTCCCCGAGGTCCAAGGCGGCCCGGGTGAGCCCCAAGAGGGCCCCAACAGAGCCCCGAGAGGGCCCCAAGGGGGCCCCACGAGAGCACCAAGACGGCTAAATCACTCCAAGACGACCCAGAAGGGCCTCCGTAGCCATGTCGACTCACGCCCTGTGCGCAGGGCGCGATGGACCTGAATCTGATGGCGGATGGCAGGCGATCGGTCCCCGGCAGTTCGCTGCCAAGCAGCAGCGGGAACGCAAGCAGCCAGGAGGAGGTGTTGCCGCTCAGGCAGGTCGTGGAGGCGGCCCGGCTGTCGAAGCATTGCGCGCAGCAAACCGGGCTGCCCCGCCGTGCTGGCCAGGCTCCGAAGAGCCACATGAAGCCCGCGGTCGTAGGCGGCGCGGGTCACCGCACTCAGCGGGGGCGGCCCGAGCGGGTGCACCACCGTCAGACTGAAGAATGCGGAGCCGTCGCTCATGCCAGACACGGCCATCGCCGCGCTCAACGCCAACGGGTTCAAAGGCATGCATGTTCAACTCCGCGCACGTACCCATGGGCATGAAGAGGAGGAAAAAGAGGGGCAGTCTCTTCATCAGCATTATCGATCCCGCGACAGCGGATGCGATGTACCAGTCCTCCCACCGCCAGACGATGCCTGGAGTCAGCTTGGCGGGCAAGACGCTGGAGATCACGCCGGCAGACGTTCAGGGCTTCAAGGAGAACTTCGAAAGGCATGTAGAGTCTGAGGCTCCGTTCCTTGAGTGTTTCCGTTGTGTACTCTAGTCGGCCACGAGGCCCGCTTGAGACCGTCTAGCAGGCGTGCGCTACCCAAGGCGATGTCTCGTCCGCATGGGCATTGAGTTTGCCTCCCTCAGTTCCCATGCTTACTGTAGGGCATACTTGGAAGCTGCCGAAGGCCAACTTGCCTGAGGGAGTGCTGTCCCCTCGTCGGAGCACGCTCCTGAAGCGTGCCTCTTCACTTGAGTGGTGTGTATAGTCCGTGCCAGATCGTCTGCGGGCTCACGCCCTGAGCGATCGCCATAGCTCTTGCAGGGCACGTGCTTGACGTGGGGCGGCGGTGAGCTTCGTCCTGTCGCGCCGCGCAAGATTCTACGAATTCGATATGGTGCGCGCACGGGTGTGAGGGAGAGGAGGGAGAGGAGGTGAGGCGGCTAGTCTTGATCTCATGTATTTCGCACCTGTTGGTATGCTTGCGATCGCGTTTCCCGCCCAATGTGCGGTCGCATGACTTTATATGTGATGCTCATTGCGACTGCCACGCATGAGATGCATTTCCATGCTTAATTCGCAGCTCTTTTATTGGACGGCCACAGAGCACGCTGAACCTGTATATACTTGGAAGACGTCAGTCCAGAGAGCAGGCTTCACGCATTAGGATCAGCATTGAAATGAGTACCCCAAGGGATGTACTAAAATCGAGGGAAAATGCAGCATTGGTTCAATCAACTGTTATTCGCATTGCGGTGGGCGACACTATCAAAGTCCACTGTGTGGTTGCTTCCTTGGCATGCTGCGCGCACAGGAGAAACACATTCGGTTCCTGCCAGATCTTCCCTTGGGAGTAAGGCTTGCAGTTTAATGTGTTTTAGGGCAGTGTGCTTGTACGGGCTGAGGAGTTCCTGAGCACGAGTTGAGTGGTGGCACGCCTTGACTGTAGCAACTTTAAGGGTAGCTCTTTGGGAGATGTTATAGTATCGGGAGCATAGCTCGCGCGCCGTTGCCTTTGGCTCAAGGCACGCGCGCCCTATTTGCCCGGACACCGCGAGTGTTCGCTATGTGCTGGAAAGATCACTACATCGATCTTATCCTATCCTATCCGTCCATTCCTCTTACTGAACCACCTCAGTACGATACCGGACGATATTTGCCATCCGCTTCCCATGGCATCGGAAGCTTTTTGAGTTACCAGGCTCACTTTCGACTTGGTAGCGGAGCTGGCCGCACCCTCGTGTGGTCAGCTCTTGCCCTTCTCATCCCCATACTCTTCGGCACGATCCTCGTGACCACCTACCACCCTGCGCTATCACTCCCAGTACGTTTACGAGGATATATCCAAGAGCAAGAAGCAACACGAGAGGTACGACGTCTAGACAACAACATTGGTACCATATACGCTTCATCACTGCGCTACTACCAACCGCTCGGCAACGAGCCAAAAGCGCAATACTTGAAGCACGGGCGGAGGGATCCCCCAGATAGAGCGCCTCGAAGACTCGACAAGGCGCTACCCCAGCGCGGCAGCGCGCCGAATAACCACCCCTATCTACACAGCCTTGGGCTGGTTATATTCGCTATCATATGGTTCGCGCTGGGGGCAGCAATCGGACACATGCGCCGCGGAGAAAACAGCACCGATGGGCAAACACATGGCCCATACTGGGACCCTCAAGGCAACGTGCCTTTTCGTGAGTACGTTTATGAGGTCAACGCATGGCTCAACGTCACTAGCGGACGTATGACGCCACAGGCCCAAGCGGCCGCCATACAACGCGGCCTAGGTGGCCTAGCGAGGACACCCGCCATGAGGGTACCACCTGACATTATAAACTATGGTGCTGACATCGATGGGGTCCACACAGACCCAGTGACCTACATCATGTTCCTCCTAAGCATGAAGTTCGAGCGCCTGGAAGATGAGCGCCAGCTCACTTCCGGCACACAGCTCATCGACTTCCATGTGCCTCACGGAGAACGAATCGATGCCACTCTAACCCGATTCGAAATGGCCCGGCTTGAGGCACAGTCGGTGGGATTCGACCTTCCCAACTTCCAGTTACTAACCGCGATCCTGTTCCGCGCCTTAGGCGTCGGCAACCAGCGAGCCGTGCAACTCTCACAGCCACTCAATCATCAAATGCCCCGAACTCAACAACAGTATGATGAGTTGCTGGAGAGGATGCGTTCGATAGGCCACCTATCAGAACGGTCTCCTGGCAATATAGGATCTGTGTTTGGAAGGGGAAGGGGATCTGGTAGTGGAAATTTCTACACTACCTTAACCACTGAAGCCCAGCCTGAAAACGGGTCCTCAAGCATGTGGGCCGATGATCCCGGAGAGTCTACTGCTTTATTAGCAGGGGACCGACCACAACCAAGCTGGGCGACCAGCCCTCCTTCCAGAGAGCCTCAACCACACCGTTCTCTGTGGGGTGAATCAAGCCCCCTTACCGACGGTGTGTCCACCTACTTAGGAGACGATGATTTCGACTCCGGCACCGACGCTGATACTGCATCATCCGACGGTGTTGAAGCTTTAGACTGGTCAGATATTATGAATATGGAAACTGACAATCAGCGTGTTGAACACCTATTTTGGTTATTACAACAGGCTAAACGGAGGTGGAGGAGGTCCACGCGAAAACCAGTGCGACGTGTTAGGAGGAGGATGCGGAGGAGTTTCAAAGGAAAAGGTAAAGGCAAGCGGGGTCGTCGGAGGTTGAACGGACGAGGCATCGCGGCATTCCTCCAGAGGCTCTCGGATGAACAGTATGATGAGATATTCTTCGGGGAAAAGGGCCGTGGCAAAGGCCGTAGAGAGACCTCAGGAAAAGGCAAAGGTAGGCGGGGAAACCCGCGAGGTAGAGACGGCCAGGTTCTAAAGTGCCACGAGTGTGATAGTGCCGACCATCTTGTGAGAGATTGTCCAGCGAAGGGAAATGGAAAGGGCAGATCGACCGAAGTCCATTTTGGCTCAAGTGAACCATTCATCGAATATCTGAGCCTCCAGGATTTTGAGGCCATGGAACAGATATTTTACACTTGGGTCAGTTGCATGGACAACGTCGACGAGCTCGAGGCGTATGGTCATGGATTGTACGCGTATTACCTCGAGTACGTCCGCAGGTTCGTTATTGGTAACAACGAGCTCACTCCCGTGGATCACGGTGCGCTGGGAAACCAGCCTTTGTCTTTCTTCGACTGGATGTTCGGGAACCCAGGCAACATCATGGCCTGCGAAAGCAGTGACGAGGACATCACTGTTGAGGCCTCGCCTTCCGAGGTTGAACGCAACCTCCAACCTCCACCTGAACTCCCGCCTGGAAACAGGCCTACCTATCCCCGAAATAATGATGAACTTATAGAAATGGAGTCTCAAGCGTTCGTTCAAGCTTTCATTGCTGGTGAACCAGAGATCCCATTTGCACCCCCTGGTTCGCTTGCTCCAGGCGAGTACGGACCACGCACACTACTGCAAACCCTCATGAGGATGCACGATGTATTGACCATCGCATATCCCGAGAGTCAAGAAAGCATCGAAGCTGGCATCATGATGCTGCAGGACACCGACGCCTGCGATGACTCGGAGTTAGTGTTGGCAGCCTTGACCCTCGTCGACAGCGTGCGCCCTGAGGACGTGCAGAGGCATGTGATGTACTCCCGAGGGAGATGGCGTGATGCCCTTGAAAGGGCCATCGCCATGCGCGGTCAGGCTCTTCCTCCGCCAGGATGGGGTCTCCAGGCGGTGGGGCGATGGCCAAATAACACGGCCATGCGCAACATTGCTGGGCAGCCTGTGCTCGGCAACGAGCCTGAACCGACAACCGTGCCGCCTGCCCCGGGACAGCCGAGCGACGCACCGATGCCGGCTATGCAGGGAAACCTGCCTGTCCCGGCTGCGCCAATGGCCATCATCATTGGTAGTTCTACATCAGAAGAAGAAGAAGGCGATGGTTGCAGGCTAGACGAGGATGAAGTCACAATCCTCATGATGGAAGTTAACGGTGAGGTAGAGGTTGACTTTGATCCTGACGAGCCTGAAGCACCATCACCATCGGCACAAGCGCCATTTGCGCCGAGCTCCAGCCAGCAGGGAAACCTGCCTTTACCAGACGATCCACCTGGGATCGCACAGGAGCCCCCGCCGGCGCCTCCGCCGGCTTCTACTCAGGCCGCTTCGGCAGCCTCTTCTGATGAGAATGCTGGAAGGTCTCGTTCCCATCCGCGCGTCAGAGGAGAGCCACATCCTCAGGCTCGGCTTCCCCGTGAGTGGGGGCTAGCTGGCCCAAGGGGACACGCTCTCAGGCGAGGAGGCGAACTACTGCCGTACAATGATCCAAGACGCCGTAAAGGGGAACATTCGGCCTTCGGCAAGGGCAACCCTGCCTATAGGGACGCTCAGGGTAAGGCCATCCGCGGAGGCTATCAAATGGCAACAAACATCCGCCGCCCTGAAATTGAAGAAGTGCGGACACAGTTGCGAAACGTTATCGCGGCTCGCAAGTTGTATAGGCCTCAAGCAGCGCGTGGGCCATGTTCCCAGCCGTTCCAGAACCACTGGCCGGGATGCCCTGTAGGAAACAATGAAGGTCTGAGCCCAAACAGGGGCGAAACCCCTCATAAGGAGGGCGTCCATCCGCCACTGATCCCGATGACACAGGACGAGATCGCAGAGGTCAATCGTCGTCTCAGGATCTTGGGTCACTTGGAGCCGAAAGAGGAAGAGGATGAGCCTACTCCGGTTCCAAGGGGAGGACTGGTGCCCATGACCCAGGAAGAAAAAGACGCGCTCTTTAATCTTCCTGGTATGCGAGGAAACTCGCCCGGCGTTTCCAGCCAGTCCCGACAACCAGAATCAACATCTAAGGATGAACAGAAGGCCCAGCGAGTTGCGGAGGACGAGGAGCGCACGCGGATAGCAGACGAACGCGCACGCGAGGCAACTCGCCAAATGCTGGTGGACTCCAACAAGATTTACATGAAGGGGGCCAAGAAACCCCCGCTCCCACTACATTCGAAGGCTAAGAGTGAAACCCCAGCACCGA